AAAATCCAGAGCCAGGGCATCGAAGAACGAGGAAGAGGAGATTGGGGCTCGTGCTTGGAAAAAGAAGGCTAGGGTGCGGCGTGCGACCTCGTCGGGTGCGAGTACCTCCTGGGCGTCAGGGCATCCACCTAGCTGGCGACTGTTTCCACGGGGTCCTGGTGACCATTCAACCGCAGCGGCTATTGGCGAATCCTTGGCAAGACCTTGGTCTGATGTTCGAGCGGAAGACAGCGCAGCAGATGACGTCTACCGGGAGCGGGAGCAAGCCGTCGGGCTACGGGCCCGAGCTTATGCACTCTCACCACGGCAACTTCCCCAATGGACTATTGAAGGGCGTGAACCGCTGGTGAGCCGTATCCGTCTTCTTTCGCGTCCGGACTCAAACACGAGGACATTAACGAAAAGGACTGTTTAGACTCTTAGAGGTTTCCGCTCGCTAACGAAGCTGACAGTGCTAATTAGTTAACATTTTTCTGATCTTAGTATTTTCCTTTTTGTGTTTTTTTTGTGTGTTTGTGAAAGTACAATTTTTTTTTGCAAATCAAACGCTCACTTCCTTTTCTCGTGAGAGAATAACGTTTCACAGCTAGCTCGACTGGCTTTATTTACTGAACCTGTCACAGAATGAGCGCGCGCTGCTCGCCGCAGCGCGCTGCTCGCCGCAGAAAAACGAAGCAGTTTTAGCTGCCTATAGGCAGCTAAAACTCATCTGAGTTAATGTATACATTAACTCAGATGAGTCACGCATTAAGAGCGCCAAAATTTACCTATACCGCTAAGCGTGTGACTTGAGAATTGTTCCCAGCAGCATAAATTTAGCAGACACTTTTTCACAAAAACACAACTTTATTTCCACGCATGCCATTCATGCACTGCCACTAGAGTACGCATGGCTTTACTCTCCGCCCTTTCTTTTCGTCTTCCTTTTGGTTCATCCCTTTCAAAAAAAAGTGGACACGAGTGAGGCAATAAAATCGCACCACACTTTTCGTCAAAAAAGCAGCATGCTTTGCGCAACCAATTTGTTGCGTCTCGCCTATCCCCTTCATCATCTCAACGGCCGATTTGGCATGAAGACGTGATGTGCTCAAGAAGCGAGTGATTTTGTTCTCAAGGGATAATATCAGGTTATAGAAGGAATTCGACGGATACAAAAGTCCTCCGAGATCCCACAGCTTGCTTGCCTGGGCTGGGAGATTTCCTGGCACATTTTCTTTAGAAGCAAGGCAGGCGTTCTTGCAATCATCACAATTACTACGAAGTACACGCTTTCTTGCGACATAACCTGCGACATAATACACAAGGCGGGCGTCACTTCGCTCAACAGTGTATGACGCATGATCTACAGACACTTCTAGCACGTCAGATGAAAGTCTTTCGTTGTCTTCGTTGTGATCTTCCACCTCGTGCAGCATTTCTTCCAGAGAGAGAAGAGATTCCACCACTCCGTCAGCTACATTGCCACCCTTCGGACTCTTTGCCAGGCTATAGAAGCTGAGGCATCTATAAATAAACAATGCATATTTTACTCACAACAGCAGTCAAACATAATCAGATGCGTAACAAGCTTCTCGCACACTGCGGAGTTCTCGTCAAGCTGTTTGTCCGCTCTTGGAATAGCACGAATCCATTTGTCGAACAGCACACTACACGTGGGAGCTCGGAAAAGGGAAACTTTCTCTCCTGAAGAATTATAATATCCAGTGTTGCAGCCAGGCACAAAGCACCAACGTTGCGTCTTCTTTTTTGTCGTTGACATCTTCGGACATTTCAGAGAGACTCAACGCAATCACCGATCGACGACATACTTGTAAGACAGTGCGACTGCTAACGAAAAAAATTATGGCGCGACTGAAGCAAACCCAGCGAAGTGCGCCGCTCACTACCCGCGCCGCTGCCATCAGCGCCCCTAGCGGCATCGGCGCGCCGAAGGACCCTCTCCGCCAAGCGAAAGGCGCCCCGCTCATCACACCTCCCCATTCTAGCCACCCTACCGTGGGGGTGTCGGCACCACCGCCGACGCCGGATTTGGCGCAGGGGCGACTATGCACCATTTTTTCGCAGCTAGTTTGTTCGTGCAAAACTAGATGGCGCCACCGCACCTAAGCGCCACGGCCTTCTCGGCGGCGCGGCCGCGATGTGGCGTGTGGCGGACGTTGCCCTGTAGTCTACCGCGAGAAACAGTGGTGGTAGGGATTCTTGAAGGAAAAAAAATTCACCTAATTTCTGTCAGGCGTAAGGCGACACGGTGCACTGCTTAAAAAGAAAAGAAATATGGATGTGCGGCGAATACTATGCCAAGATCTCCTACGCGACAAGACAAGACAAGACTAAGCGCTGCGCCCGCTTTGCTGGCCTTCAACCCGGGGGTGGCGGCGGTGAATCAGCTGGCTATCGGTGGCGGTGAAGAAGTGGAAAAGAGAAAGCCATCAGATCATGTGTTCAAACAGGGCAGCGCCCGTTCGCCGCTGCGGAAAACCGTTTATAAAATGCTCCACATTTAGGAAGTGCAGTGTAAAAGAACTGCTTGAAATTCGTGTGACGCGCTATCGGTACAGTGTCCACTATTGGTGTCAACTGAAACTCGCAGAGCGCCAAGGATTCGCAGTGGTACACTGCGCGCCGTATGCTATAACCTAGGAAAATGACGCATATATGCGCAATGCTGCCGAACCAGACGCGGATGGCAGTCAATGGTGATGATCGGAGTGCTCGCACCACACTGTACCATTGCGAATGTTTGTCACAATTCGGGCTTAATTTGCCGCCGATAGTACACAGAAACATCATAGATGGTTACTTAGATAACTCAAAACTAGAACTACAGAGAAGTGCATTTAATGAAAAAAGTTACTGACAAAATGGCTAAATACGATTATTGTGGTTAGTATTCAAATGGGCCCCGCCGCGGTGGTCTAGTGGCTAAGGTACTGGGCTGCTAACCCGCAGGTCGCGGGATCGAATCCCGGCTGCGGCGGCTGCATTTTCGATGGAGGCGGAAATGCCGTTCAGATTTGGGTGCACGTTAAAGAATCCCAGGTGGTCGAAATTTCCGGAGCCCTCCACACTACGCCGTCTCTAATAATCGTGTGGTGGTTTTGGGACGTTAAACCCCACATTTCAATCGATCAATTTTAATATCTGAGATTTTACCTGCCAAATGCACGATGTGATTATCAGGAACGTCGTAGCGGAAAGCTCCACAATATTTCGACCATCTGGTGTCCTTTGAGGCGAACTCACATCACGCAGTACACGGGACTGTATATCATTTTTCCTACAATGAAAAGCGACCGACACGGCCGGGATTGAACCGGCGACCTTTGTATCAGCAGCCCAGCACTGTAACCACTGATCCAACGCAACGAACAGTCCCACAAGGTTTCTTTTTTTTAGTCACTTTAGTAAGCCATTACGAGCTATGGCTAACCTCCGGTAAAGGCGTTGGTACCCGATTCAAACCCAAGAAGAGGAAGTCAACTATAGGAGACGTTTCCTGCTGAGAAATCCGTATACACGTTTCCTTGGAGCTCTGCCGCTTTCCATTTTACGAGGATTACTACTTTACGGCCAAGCTCGTTTTCATAAATTGCCACTGTGTGGGTGTACGGGTGCGCGAGTTCTCGAAGGAGTTATAGTGCTAAAGCGATTATGGGTATGCGGGCGAGACGCTGCAGCTACAAGCGCTGAAAAGTGTGTTTTAGTTGGTATAGTTGTTACGGCACTACACCGAACGTTTCGGGGCTTGACGTGGTGTGAGCGTCAGGTGAAAGCGGAAAAGCGGCAAGCCTTTTCGCGATGGTACAGTGCACGCCATCTAGTTCTCACGAGAGACAGTTGCGCATGTATGCGCAGTGTTGCCGAACTGGCTGCGTGCGCCTATCAATGGTGCACCTGGAGTACGCGGATTATTGTTTGCCGCGGTTCGGGTTTCATTTGACGCCGGTATAGTACTTATACAAAATCGGATTCAATTGAGACGTTTACAGGTCAGTCAGAGCATTCGTACAGTTACCAAACATGCCCTGTAGTAGGATGCTTCGCATATAGTTTATGACCATCCGATGGCTGAAGCGTCCACCGAACGCGTACTATGCGATCACTTTCAGATTCCACAGCAGAAGTGCACGGTGCGAAAGCCGCTGCCGGGATCGGAACTGCTACAAGGCACCGCAGCGTTAATGCTATCGTTACCTCGTGGTTACTGCTATGCGTTTCTCCCAGCAGTGTGATGCCATCGAGTACGACGTTTCCAGAACGGTTACTTCAAATTCAATGTTAAGAGCAAACCTCATAAGCGCGAAAATGCACGCGACAGCGACGAGCTATGCTATGAGCGACGAAACAGGGCGTTCGCGCGACGTGTCGCGTGCTCGTTTTCGCGCGATCACTCGGTTCTCCAGATTTGGAAACCGTCGCTCATCGCCCGGAAGTGCTGGGCTCAAGCAGCCAATAGCGAAAATCCGGAAAAGACAAAGACTACAAAGGTGCACGTGACCCTGCCCGAGTCACGTATGCGCAACAAGAAATAACGCAATGTTTACGCATGTGCATATAAAAAAGTGCTGCAAGGCATTAATAAACACTTTCCGTTCCATTATACAACAATATAATTTATTTTTAAATTCCATACTGTTCACTACGCGGTTTTCTTGGTGCGAGTAGACGGCCTCATGCCAGCAACAATAGAAATCGCTCGCCGAAGCCGTCGCGTGAATGAGGTTTGCCTGCGCTAGCGACTGATCGCGCGAAGACGATCTACATCGCGTCGCTCGTCGCTGTCGCGTGCATTTTCGCGCTTATGAGGTTTGGCCCTTAACCTGTGTAGCATCGCGAATTGTACGAATGGCGACATTTGACGTGTCACACCAGTTTCGAAGTCATGCGGAAGTCGCATTGAGCTTGTACACTCAATTGCTGCGCCCAACAAACACTCGGCGAAGAGCTTGCGAATGAGTGGCACTTGCGAAAGATAAGAACGAACGCTTACCGTCAATCTTGCCACGGCCACTTGTCGAGCAGCAGCTTCGCAGCTCTGTAAAAAAAAAAAAGAGGAGGAAAGAAATTCGAATGCAAAGAGTAGAGTACGCCGTAATGTTCTGGAAAATCCGGTATTTCACCGTTTCATCAATGTGATGATCTGTGGGGCATTTCTCTTGCAAAGAAGAATTCATCTGGGTTGGTAATATGATGCCCTTTAATCAACACTCACATCAAAATGCACACTGCCACGGTGGTTCTGTGGTTAGGGTACTCAGCTGCTGATCCGAAAGTTACAGGTGCGAGCCTGGCCACGACGTTCGCATTTCGATGAAGCCGGAATGCTAGGGGCTCGTGTACTGTGGCGTCAGTGCATCTTGGAGAGAAAAGCATCGATCAATCGAGCGGAGGGGCAGCATGCATCCTCGCCCTTTCCCGTTTTTTTAGGGGCGAAGCTCCTTAGGGCGTGGGCTGTGCGTCCCCTGTATGTAGCCACCTCTAGTTTAGTTCTTTCAGTGTTCACTAGATGGCGGTACCGTCTCCTGTATGTAGCCACCTCTAGTTTAGTTCTTGCAGTGTTCACTAGATGGCGGTACCGTCTCCTGTATGTAGCCACCTCTCTTTAGTTCTTGTAGTGTTTACTAGATGGTGGTACTTGTAGATGATGATGAAAAGATGCAAGATGTTATAAACTAGAAAGCGGTACTTGTAGTTGATGAAAGACGCGAGATCTTATAAAATAGGAATGATGTCACATATGGTGCGTGTCATTGGTTGAAGGCAATCGTTCGATTTAGTGCGGCGACGTACGCTAGGGGGAGCGATGTAATAAAATCGAGTTAGACGATAACCTGTTTGTTCTCACTCAGTGCATAGAAATATCTAAAATAGAGAATAGGCCCTTGTACGTGGCTTTTCTAGACATCACTGGGGCATACGACAACGTTAATCAGGAAATTTTGTGGGATATATTGAAAGGAATGGGCATGGGCGACGACTGTATACAGCTTTTGAGGGAGATATACCGAGAAAATACAGTTTGCATAGAGTGGGAAGGAATGCGTAGCAAAGAGAACGTTGAGGTTAGCAGGGGTCTGAGACAGGGATGTCCTTTGTCCCCACTGTTATTCATGCTGTACATGGTGAGTATGGAAAAAGCGCTAGAAGGTAGCAACATTGGTTTTAATCTGTCACACAAACAGGGCGGCATGATGATTGAGCAGAAGCTTCCAGGTTTATTTTATGCGGACGATATCGTCTTATTTGCGGACAGTCGAGATGATATACAGCAGCTGGCGAATATATGCGGAAGGGAAGGTGAAGCTCTTGGACTAGGATTCAGTGTAACGAAGTGTGGTTTGATGGTATTCAATGATCCCTGTGATCAGACGGTGTCCATACAAGGCCAAGAAATACCGAGGGTAAGTGAATACAAGTACCTTGGAGTATGGGTAAATGAGAGTGATAGATACATGGAGGTACAGGAAAAAGCCTCGGCAGCAAAAGGAAAGAGGAATGCGGCAATAATGAAGCACAGAGCGTTGTGGGGATACAATAGGTATGAGGTGCTTCGAGGTCTGTGGAAGGGTGTAATGGTTCCAGGGCTTACTTTTGGGAACTCAGTGGTGTGCATGAGGGCAGAGGTGCAATCGGGAATGGATGTAAATCAAAGGACTGTGGGACGCCTCGCGTTGGGTGCTCACGGGAAGACGACAAACGAGGCTGTAAAGGGCGATATGGGGTGGGCAGGTTTTGAGGCGAGGGAAGCGCAGAGCAAAATAAGGTTCGAAGAAAGGCTAAGAAATATGAAGGAGAGTAGATGGGCAGAGAAGGTGTTCCGTTATTTGTATAGGAAGAGCGTGGACACACAGTGGAGAAAAAGAACTAGAAGACTCACTAGTAAATATACGGCTGGTATTGTGAGCCATATGTCAACAAAGAGAGTTAAGGGAAAAGTCAGGGAGGCGGAGAGGATTTACTGGATGGCAGCTATGGAGAAAAAACCAGCTTTGAGTAACTACCGAAAGGGCAAAAATGAAATAAGGAGGTAGGCATTTTACGATAATTCAAGGGGAAGCGCTTTACTGTTTGAAGCGAGATCGGGTTGCCTTAGAACGCGTAGTTATAAAGCAAGATTCAGTAAAGAAGAAGAACAATGCACATGCTGCGGGAAAGATAAGGAAACGGCGGAGCATGTTCTGATTGAATGTGGAGATATCCACCCAGGTGTACGTTTGGGCACGAGCCTACAGGAAGCCTTGGGTTTTAGGGACAACAATGGAAAGCTGAACACACCCGCGATTGAAATAAGTCAGAGACGGTTAGAGTATTGGTGGCAGAAAATTAGAGAGAAAGAACAAAAATAAATAATGGAAAAATAAAATATGGACAGTGTGCCGTAAATGGCAGAGAACTTAAGCTGAAAACTTACCTTTTTTCCATTAAGATAGAATTTATCGAAGTAGAGGCATTAGGCCAACATAAAAAAAAGGAAAAAAGGGTTTTTTTTTTTTTTGTCGAGCCTGGTGGCATACTTGTCACCACCCCGTTATAAAGGGGACGCTCATAGCATCCATCGAGTGGGCAAAATGTACAGAGGATTCATGGTTTACCAGGTTTACCTCCGGAGCTTCGCCCACACATCATCATTCACTTCGTGGATATGGCAGCACTTTTTTCTTCTTGGTAATAAATCGAGAAACTTTCGTGTGCGTCGCGTTGGCTCTTCGAATTTTTACTACTGTCGGAAAAAATTGGCGCATCATGCTTGCTGCGACGTTTAGCTTCACACCGTACACATTACCGCAGTTTAGGGGCTTCCTAACAATGTCTGCGTTCAACCTCCTACTGGCACTGCGGTAGCTCCCTCTGCGGCCTGCACACGCCAGTTCACATTTCGCTGCAGACGAACGTGGCCGAAGCCCGAAATATATTGAGAAGCACATGTGTTGGGGCTATAGTAGGGCAATCTCACAGTGGAATAAGCAGCGCTGCACAGTATTATACAATTCGAAGAGCGAACAGTGAAGCAACACGACGCACCACGTTTATTCCTCTATCTCTTGTGACAAGGAATAAGAAGGGGAGATGGAGGCGCACACGCTCAACGCCAGCCTGCGCCAATTAGCACACTTGATGATCCTGCCGCCCGGTTCTTGGCCGATCCCCCTTTGTGGGCGAGTGCCAGCAAAGCTGAAGGTTCATCATCATCATCATCATCATCAATACCATATTGCCATGACAGCGGCCCGAAAGCAGCGAGCTGCTGCCCTTCGACCGGGCGTTGCGGCTTGAATTTTTTTTTTACCAAACCTGTACAAACAACCCACACTGAGAGTAAAAGCGCGCGCACGCGGGCTACCACGCCATGTAGAGCAACGTACACGTGGTAGAAGTGGAGGGCGCGCGCACAACGTGAAGAGCGTGGCGACGACATGTAAACGTCGCCCTTAGCGCCATCTCTCTGGTGAGAAAGAGAACGCACTGAAACGCTTCCGAGCTCTGCGTATCACCGGCGGTAATTGGTGTGTGTAAATAGATTGCCGTTAGTAGGCTAAGCATGCACGTTCCGTGGCCCAGTCGTTCAACGATGCGCGCTGCGGAGCGAGAGGTCATAGTTTGGATCCCCGGTCGAGCGATTCGAAAATACGTTTCTTTGCAGCTTATATACATATAACGGCGACGGCAAAAATGAGCTGATTTATTTATTTATTAGAATACCCTCAGGGCCCGTAGGGCATTACAGAGGGGGTGGGTACAACATTTATAACACACAAGAAAAAAAAAGACAAAATAAAGAAACAAGTGTCAGATGCGCAAATCAGGAAGGCAACATAAGTCAACTAAAAATGTATAAGAATTCAAGCACATACAAGACAAAGATAGATAATAGAAACTGCGTATAGTTACAAGCATTGCTGAGAAATTGCAGTCTTGAATAACAAAGGGTCTGTTATTGTTACAACGGAAGAGGGAAGGTGGTTCCAATCGGCGGCTGTTTTCGGTAAGAAGGCTGCTGAAAAGAATTTGGTGCGGCAAAACGGAATGGCAACCTTATGCTGATGATCAATGCGCGATGAGTGGTATGACGGTTGTGAAATGAGGTCTCGCTTCATTGATGGATTGTGAAAAAATATCTTATGAAAAAAATGCAGTCGCGCCAGTTTCCTCCGGACAGTTAAATTGGGCAGGTCAAGGTTAGATTTCATTTCTGATATGCTAGCAGTACAGGAATAATTACGCTGATAGTGTTCATATGATTGCTATTGCGATAAAGTAAAAACTTTGACCTTACTTTTACCTTCTATTAATAAATAAGGCTCTGACGACAATGAACTTAAAGGCAATGCAGTTTTAGCGCGATAGCGTCGAAGAGCTCGTTTCACAGAAATTCCGGTGTCCGCGCTGTTGGTTGTGAGCGAAAAATTATCGTCTTATGCGTGACCGAAAAAAACAAGAACGATGCATGCAAATAAAATAAATAACTGATTTGAGAAACGCTGGAGCAGAGTGGGGACCGAACCGGGGTTGTTGGGGTCCAAGTGGACATCGAACCCGGGTCATTTGCGTGGCAAGCAAATATTATACTACAAAGCCATGCCTGTGCTTGTGAAAACAGCGAAGATAACTTCTCCTTTGAAATGCAGTGAAAGTAGATTTCATGCTCCACAAACACACGCGTCCTGTATGTACAAGCTTCACGACGCAACATGAAGTATTGCAATAATAATGCGCGGTACAAGCGTTCATTGCAGAGGTGCGTCAGAATATGTGATTATCAGAATGGCTCCGTGATTGAAAGCCGGTATACGCCTCCTCATCCCCTACAAAAGGCACACACGCTACTGCGCCTATTCCCTTAAGGCCACTTAGCGGGTACATAGCAAATTCGAAAATGTTTCATGCAGACGATAGTTATATAGCGCGAGAACAGAACGATCAGCTCTCGAATTTTACTAGCCACACTACCACTTATTATTTAGCTGATACACTGCAATGATTCAACTCTCAGGAGAATTGCATATAACGATTCCACCTCAGATATTCAACAAATTC